GGATGTCTGCTCCATTGTAGTCATATCAGCATTATTTGTAATAGCCAAAAGCTGGAAGAAACCTAGATGCCCCTCAATTGAAGAGTGGTTAGAGAAAATGTACATTTACACAATGAAGTACTAGTCAGCGGAAAAAACAATGGAATTTTGAAATTTGCAGGCAAATGGATGGCACTAGAAGAAACCATCCTGAGTGAGGTAACCCAGTCACAAAAAGACGAACATGGTATGTACTCACTCATATATGGATTTTATACATGGATCAGGGGAGTGTCAGCCAACAATCCCACTGTCAGAGAGTCTGGGAAACAGAACCTTCAACTAATGACTGATGGAAGCTGAGGCAGACACCCACAGCTAAACACTGAGCTGAACTCCTGGAACCCAGTGACAGAGAGGGAGGACTGATGAGCAAAGGGGTCAAGACTGGGCTGGTTTAACCCACAGAAACAGCTGACCTGAACAAGGGGGGAGCTCTTGAACCCCAGACTGGGAGTCCAACATGGACTGATCCAGACCTCCTAAATGTGGGTGTCAGTGAGAAGGCCTAGGCAATCTATGGGGCCTTGGGTAAGAGATCAATATTTATCCCTGGCATGCAAACCGACTTTGGGTACCCATCCCACAATAAGAGATGCTCTCTCAGCCTGGACTCTTGCGGGAGGGACTAGGCCCTGCCCTGAATGAAGTGACGGACTCTGGAGATCCCCATGGAAGGCCTCACCCTCTCTGAGGAACTTAGTGGGGATAGGGGTGGCTGGGAGAGTTGGTGGGGGGGGGCATGGGAGGAGGGGAGGGAGAGGGAGCTGGGATTGACATGTAAAGCAACCTTGTTTCTAATTTTAATTTTTAAAAAATTCTCACAGCAAAATTAAAGTTTAAATTTAAAAACAAAAGCTTAACAATACTTGATATTGGAGTTGCCCTGACTTCAGGAGCCACTGACTTCATTCATTCTCACAATGCTGGTCATGATTATGGCATCTGTTAGAATGTTACAGTATCACTGCCACGCAGTTTCTACTATTGAGAAATGTTAAGCTATTTAATTACGACATCTGAGTCTGTAAGCTGTTCATCTAAAGATTCCTAATCATGAAATTTAAGTCACTGAAATAAGAATTTTTTAGAAAACACACCAATGCTCAAATATTCTCTCATTTTTACTTGAGCCCAGCTTGTTTTCCATGTGGGAGATCCAGCCAGAATGAGAAGGTCCTCGTTGTAAGTTGTAAGTCATAATGGGAACATGGGCTGTGTGTGTCACATAGAGGACATCAACTCAGAGCCTCCTTTGATCTTCAGACCACTCCCTGTCACTGAAAGAACAGTACCTTCCAACATGGCTGTTTCATTGGTGTTAAATGAGGCACAAAGAAAATGGCATCATGAACCAAAACAAAGCATATTATGGAACTTTCCAAGCCCTAGATAGTTTTCCCTGTATAACTTTGAACTCCAGGAGAACACAGTGTTTAGAATGCCTCCAGATAAATTTCCATGAATGGTCTGGGGATCAGGGAATGTTCTCTTTCTCTTTGTGCTCTCACAACTTACTCTTGAGCTTCCTACACAGTCAGATTCCCTGCACTAATTCACTCTCATTTCCCACAAATGCATAACCCTTTACACATTGCTACACCCAAGATTGTAGATGTGTCATTCCTATTACGTTTTCCCTCACTTTATTTTTTATGTGCAAGCATTGTGTATTTGCTATCCATTAAATTAAACCACGTAGGAAGTGCTATAATGGCATAACACTTATAACCAGAACTTCATAGCAATTCAGTAAGTGCTTATCAAGTGTTGATACGATCTGTCTCAAATACATGCTGCTTACTTTAAATTTTATTCTGACAAATATAATGTTTATTTGCTGGACTGAGAATGATTGATAACACTTTTATTTACTCATTTTAGCTCTGCTTTATAGGGATTGGTATTTTATCACTATAACTCAAACTTACATTTTAAAATTTCATAGTGTGGCATGATAGATGGCTCAGAAGGTAATGGTGCTTGCCACCAAGCCTTAAGAACTGACTTGGATCGCTAGATCCCCATGGTAGAAAGAGAGAATCAATTTTCCCAAGGTGTTTTCTGACCTCAATGTGTGCCTTAGCACCTTCATTTACACCCATGGACATACACACACACACACACACACACACACACACACACATATGTATATATATTAAATAAAATTACATGCTAAATAAAACAAAATTAAAAATTTCAAGTTGTCATTTCTTGATAATGTTGCCCTAAACGCCACACTGGAAGAAGTGGCTGATTATAGTTAGAGAAATTAAGAGAACAGGAATATGCTATCACTCCATCAACTGTTTCTCTGTTCCCAGAATCCATTTTAGAAAGTCCCAGCCACCCAATTCTATTGACATTATTGCTATAACTTCACTAGATACATTGAATTATACAGACCCTGGCAAGCTAATCAGAAAGACTGACACCACAAAATCTGCAAGGCTACGCCTTTGGGATTTGACAGAAGGGCTCTTCAGTGACTAGGTACCACTATCCTAACAATGGATCATGAAACTGTGGAAAGTAAACATGAGTTCTAACCCTTGCTTTAGGCATCACACAGCCACCCCTTGCTGCTGGCCAGACAGGGTCATGCAAAGTATGATTCTGCAAACTTGGCCTAAGCTGTCCTGGCTCACACACAGGAAGTAGCTCTGCCAGAAAACTCATGAGGAGGAGCCTGGAGTTGACAAGAGAAGAACAGGACTTGCAGAAACCAGTACTCTGTCTATCTTGTACTGGGACTGGGAGATAACACAGCAGACCTGCCAAGGACACTGAAACAATATCAAAGTCAAGTGTTTTTTTGTCTTATCTTTTCACTCAGCTCGCTGTCCTCCCTACAGCATCAGTTGTAGCAAGCTAAAACTGTTCCCTCCAGTTCACACCATTCTCTCATTTTTGCTGTCTCTCTATCTCTGCCTTTTTTCTTTCCTTTCTCTTACCCCTTACCCTTTCCTCTTACTATCACATCTGCTAAAGCCAGGAAATGTGGTGATAGCTTGTTTGTACAAATAAAATGAGTCTGAAAATCAGAAGGTAGAGCTTGGCACTAGCTAACCATAGAGGCCTGGAGGTCTGTACAGGCAGAGAAAGGAATATATGCAGGAGGAAACAGGAATTTGCTCTTTTTTCCACTAGCAAACTAGTGAGGTAAAGGTGGCTTTGGCTTGCTCCTTCTTCTCTCTGATCTCTCAATATTTTCCCCTATATCTGACTCCAGACTTTTATTATTAAGACGTATGAGAATTCAAATTACATAGAGATGAACTTTGTTTATGATACCTACGTATGTATCTTACCCCTTCTTTTTAGTATACTGTTACCCAAAATGTCAATATATTCACCCTCTCTTTTTCCTTGGCCTCTATTATTTCCACTCCTACATGTCTCTGTCTCCTATACTTTCCACCTACCAAACTAATACTAACAGGTCTTACCTTGATTGCTTACTCCTTTTTCTTTTCCTTTCCACTCAAACTCGGAAAATCTAACATTGTCAGTATTGTAAGCTATCCACAGTGCTATCAGGGCTCTTTTACTCATTAAAACACTCAGCACATAAAAGTAGCTGTTGGGTCACCACCTGCTCCTCTCTGAAGCACAGTAGGTTAAGAGATAGATAGTGACTTTTGCTGAAGACAATACTCAACCCATGGAAGTAAATGACAGCAAGAGCCTGCTGCCTGGGACATCATGGTAACAGAGGAAGACACCAATATAACTCTCTCACAATCTAGTCTCTCCTGAACACTGCAAACACCTCCACTGAAAGAATGGAGACATCCCAAATTAAAATAACAGCAAAAATTCAAACAATGACCTAACCCTGGATGAGCGGATACCAATGCAAAATATAGGTAACGCCAAAATACAGGTAAGACAGGTTTTTATTTTTCTCAAAAAATTATCAGTCACATAACAATGCCCCAAACAAAAGCAAATTTGATGAAATACCAGATAATGAATTCAATACATTATTATAAACATGGTCAAAAAATTCTGCTATACTCATAGCTCAGTGCCTTGCTCAGCCTTCATCAAAGGAACTGCTCCCTGCAACAGGTGGGAAAAATACCCAGAGATCGACAGCTAGTAATAGACAGAGAGTGAGAGACTTTGAAACTCCTAGTCCTAAGTGGGATGCCTTCATCAAATCTTCCTCCAAACCTTCTTCATCACAAGTTAAGGAGTCAAACTGATACTGCCTTAGAAGTGTCTTTCCTGCTGTTTTTGCTTTTTTCAAAATAACAGAAGGTGCTATGTGCATTTGTGTGAAGGATAGAGCATCAGACTTCGTCTGAAGACTTACATCTTTGCACATAGATTATTACATGTCTCAGTCCTCTCTAGAGAAGTTGCTTTTTCACATGGGCTTAAATGTAGAGAATAAATATCTGTGGAATTATCATCAATAATGGAACTTCCTTATTATCATTCCTCTCCCCAACGTCCAGGGAACATCATAGAAGAGAGGTAGAAATATCTTAAGACTAGAGTTCAGCAAAGACTACTACAAAACAGTGCCTCTGGACATGACGGGTTCATTGTACTCATGAACTCATCATGGTGGTTGTAGTTAACTACACAAGACCTGGACAAGGAAAACCCAGCCAACATTACAGCATGTATGCACGAACATAAAAAGTCACATTCCCAAGTAGTTTTTAGCAGTTGATGGCTGCTGGGGGAAGGAAAGTGAGTTTTCTCCAGAGATATGTCTCCTTCCTGGTAGACTGACCATGCCCAGTGAATGGCTCCACACTCATGTGCATGTGGGCCAACATTAACTGGGTTCAGTGGGTCATAATCAATTTAAATGTGCATGAAATTTGGAGAAGGATGTACATGGATGCAGATCAGGGAGGAGTCATAGGAAAGAAAATATTTGTACATGTATATGAAATTTTCAAGGAATAAATATATATTTTAAAAACTCAAATTGAACAAAATCCTGTAAGATTACCTTTATTAAGCTTCACATTCTAATTCCAGCTAGGCATTTCATTTGACAAGCAGGTATGGCATTCTAGAAAACATTTCACAACACTCAGAAGGGAAAACCATAGGGAACAGATCACTCTACTCTGCAGTCATTGTGCAGATCGAGTGATTCAAGGAGTCACTGAAGGACAAAGCTTAAGTCACAACTGGTCTTCCTTACCAGGTAAATATTCTAAATATTCTACAATGGAAAGCACCTGAACATGCATGACAGAGTCACAGAGAACTTGTACTTTTCAATCTGATGGTCATGGGTTCGAGCCCCACATTGGGCTCCAAAATGTACATGGAGTTCTTAGTTGTTCTAAATAATAAAAGCTCAGAGTCAGAAACCTCCTTAGCATCTCAGCAGACAAGAGAATGAGTTCCTGTTTCTCCCTGGTTATATTGTTTCTCCCCAGCTATCTCTGTCTGTTTCTACAGACCTCCAGACTTGTATGGTTAGCTAGTGGCAGGCTCCTTTCTCTAACCTTCAGAGAGGCTTTATTTTTACAAGCAAAATAAAACCACAAGAGAGAGCATGCACCTTTTATTCTTGGGTATGAAATGGGGTCACATTTTATAAGACTAATGATTCTTTCATATTAAGCTACAAGTTTTTTATATGTGTCATCAATACTGATGAGTCACTTATGTTTATGAAATCAATAGAAGAGTTAAAGGAAAACACTATAGGGGTGACTAGGAGATGTGTAGTCCTTGCTGAAGGGTTTCTCTTCTCTCTGGTGACTTCTTTAAGAGTTCTTCTGAGATATTTTCATGGCAACTGTCTTGAGTTCAGTGTATTCATAAACACCATGCTCACCCCTAGACAGGGAAGAAAAATAGCCTATGAGCATGTTTGCACACTGCAGTGTAAGTCAAATATATCCGTCATAATTTGGTGCAAGGTTTTTCTTGCTTACCTGAGTAGGGGCAATGTAAAATATTTATTGAATACATAGTAATTTATATAGGTGCTAGGTTACCATAAGCTTTATGACCAATTATAAACTCCCCAGTGGAGAGTAATATTCTAAAATGTCTTTTATTTTAAGTAATTACGTACTTGGCTTATTTCCAGGGAAGACATCCATTATTTACATTATTTTATTTGTTCATATGACCAACTAGTACATAATTCAATCTGATTATAATTTGTTGAACCAATAAATAGGGAAGTGTAGTTCCCATTGCACTATACAATGACTGAAGAGCAACAGAACAAACCACCAACTGCATTAGAGCCTGCATTCACCACACAGGAGTGGTGAGAGGTTAGAAAATGACCAAGATCCCATTCTGAAACTGTAGTTTTAACAGGAAATTTGATTGTGGCCCAAACAAACACCTAATCTTTGTAGGTGGTATTTTTCTTTGTTTCTTTTGTTTTGTTTTGTTTTCTGGTTGCTTGTTTAGCCTTTTAAGAAGGAAAGAAACTTAAGATTGACCTGATTCAGGATTTTCAAATTTTAGCAGATGTTGGTTTTCTCTGTTGCTCAATATCCTATTATACAGTTAATAATTTTTTTTCAAATCAAGCCCAAGTGACCTGAAGTTGAATTGAGTCCATCTGTGGATACCACCGTAAGCTATTAGGGTTCTACCTGAGACCAATTTTGGGAATCATGATCTCTTTCCACCTTGTAGATAACTTAATTTAGAAGGACTGCCCTCACTTCTCTTCTGCATTGTTTGGATAAGAAGATCATATTGCAAGTATACAGGACTGTTCCCAGGATCATCAAACCTATATACACACACACACACACAGGTTTACCAAGTAGTTGGACTTTGTAATTCTCTACCAGTCCTGCTCCTGAATCACTTGTGTATGTAGACATAGATGATGTCTTATGCTTTACAACCAGTCATCAATAATCCCCTTTTACTGATTTTGTGAATAATTTGAATTTCTGAAGCTAGTTCTTGAAAACCTCAAAAACATGCTTTTCTACACAATTAAAGGGCTTCATCCAGCTGTCTGAAGTCCATTAAATGTATTGTTTCAATAAGTAGTTCATATTTAAGAGGCAGACAAATTATTAGCTCATAATTTTGACCAAGTTGCTTCACATTGTATTTAGGGTTGCTAAGGCACTGGGCACTCTCAGAAGAGTTCTAAATGCATTGTCACATCAAGGATGTCCTATGTTGTTTTAACACAGACCATTAGAGTATCTATCCCCTTACATTTTTCCTTAGCTAAGAAAAATCTATACATTGTTATCTCTAACTTCTAAGTCTTCTGTATACAAATCCCATGGGACCTTCATCAAATGTTAATTCTAATTGAGCAGATATGGAGGAGCTCTAGTAAGCCTTCACATGACAGTCTTGATTCTCATGATAGTCCACACAAAGAATAAAGCAATATGACATTAAGCTATGTCTGCTTCATCCCCAGTGCCAAGAAATGAACTTAATGAAGATTCAGGGAAACATTTGCTAAACAGACTTGACAAATACAATCAAGAGAATACAAATTCATCTGAGTTCTCTTCTGGGGGTTCTTTGAGAACCCTGTTTCCAGATTTGTTAATAATACTTTTCTGCCTTTGAAAATAACTCATAACTCTTGGAAGGCGTCAATAATTCTCTGGGAATGTTTTGCAACAAACATTATTTAACAGATGCATCATAGTATTAGGTAGACTTCACCAGAAGCATATCAGTTTGAAATAAGGCAACTATAATTTATTTAAGAAGTGTATTCAAATATTTAGAGTGTATTAATTTACAAGCATCTCAATATCACCAGTTTACCCTTAACCTGCTTTCCTAGACTGTTTCCCATCTAGCTTCTATGCACATATACCATAGGCAATCCTAAAAACAGGTAGCAATTTAGTGACCAAGGAGGAGTACTTAGAATGGCCACATATGGGTAGTAGGTGTTTAATAAAGTATATTCCATCTGTTATTGCTTTGCTACACTTAGGAAGTATTTCCAACATTTAAAAAACTATTTGGTACTAAAAATACTTTATCCCCAAAGCAGTGAAAATAAAACAGTTTCCTGGGAGTGGCAATCCTTATAACAAAAATATGTGCTTATTTTAATATAAAATTTAACTTACAGTTCTCTCCCATTTCCAGACATCTTGAATCCACCAAAGGGGCACTGGGAAGGAAGAATTAAATAGCAGTTCACCCTAAAAAAAAGAAGATGTGGCTACTATAGATAATTCTTAAGTCTTCTCATAATTTCTAAGCAGAAAATTTAAAAATTCAGAAATCTCCTTAAGAACTCCTTTGTTTCAATCTATTATGATCATGAAAATTAAAAGAACACTATACATTAGAATTCAGAAAGCATCTATATATTACTAGAAATAAAAGGCAAAACTATGAATTTGAATATATATTCACACACACATATATGTATGTATATATATATACATTCATATATATTCATATACAAAAGGAAATATCTGATGTTGGGATTGAATGGTGCTATTTAATGCCTTACATGCATGAAGTTTGTGGTGATCTTGAGGTCTATACACTTAGCATTCAAAACTCACATACCTTTAGCAATTATTATGTGTGTCAGTACTTATTACATTTGTTTCAATTATTGGTCAAGAGATGGTTTAAACAGAAGTGGTGGCAGGAATTGAGCCCACTTATCAATCTGATAATTAGCTTTTAGAAATATTTTGTAGATGTTTCTAAAGGAAAATACATTTTAAAAAAGTGACAGATCTCAATAGAAGCTAAGTAGTAAATCAAGGCAATGGGGAAGTGTTGACTGGAGTGCAGTTCTGCAGGCCATGAACAAGTATTTTAATGCTAAAGCAGAGAGAACAATATTCTATATTTTATAGAGCAGCTGTTGACCTCTGACAGATGATTTATAAAAGTACATGGGATTCAGTCTTTGTAAATGTAGAAATATGAATGTGTATTAGTTAGTAACAATGAATTTATCAGTACTTTTGTCATAGAAAAAATCTACGCTGATCATTAGTTATACTAACATGATGGCACTTTGATTATTTCCTTGAAGAGATTTGGGGGTTAATTACCACTACTTAAAAAACAGGCTTTAAGCTCTTTTGTTTAATGCTATTTTATATTAAGATTTACAGCAGTTTTAAAAGTTTCATTGAATAAAATACCTATGCCAGGAGTAAATCACAGATAAGTATTTTATGACTGAGATCTTTGATACTCAACCTCATCCCTCATTTGGTTGTTTATATAAATTTTTCATTCATCTAATGTGTGTGTGTGTGTGTGTATACATGTATATGTGTGTGTGGTGCCCATGCATGCATAGGGAAGACACAAGGAGGCCAGAGAAGAAATAAAGATGAAGTTTTCTTTTTTTTCTGTTTTTTCAATTGCTCTCCTATCTTTTTGAACTACATCATCCATAGAGCCTGAGGCTCAATAGTTATGCTAAAGCGCCTAGCCACTAAAGCCCAAGGATCCTTCTGTCTCTGGCCACAATGATAAACTTCCAAGCACAGGCCACCATATCTTGCCTTTACATGGAGACTGGAATGAAACTTAGTTTCTTATCATTGAACACGTTTCTTATTCTTGAACACCAAGCACATTCCCTGGTTGAAAATACAATATTTGAAATACTCAAAAATACAGTTATAATTTTATGTTGGCATGTTTCAAAGCATTTTGATTTTGTCATTCTAGTGTGCAGCTGGCTAAATTCATACTAAACTATAACAAATGTTGAGAACTTTTTAGAGAGTATGGCTCTCACTCTTCTATTCATTGTATGGTCTTGATAAGTTCCTAAAGTGTCCACTACAGTTTCTAAATCAGTTCCTAAAGTTCTCAGCAAACTAAATTCCTGATTTTTATACCAAACAAGGTTTGGGAAAGCAAATAGTAGTATTGAGTAAGAGAAAACGATGAGTGTAAAAAACACATTTCAACTTTGAGGCAATAGTAACTAGCTGATGACTCTCACTTTGGTGAGAGGAAAACATATTTCAAGCAATAAAGAGGGTTAAGAATGTCCTGGCTGTGTCCCTTAGGATGCTTTTCAGTACCTAATCCTAATTTTCTTTAACTGGACTAGGTGAGAGAATGAAAATAGTTCATGCTGTTGCCAGGATTGAAGGAAAGGAGGCCTTATGAGAGAAAAAAAGGCTGCTGAGGAAACAGTGCATGATAAGGAGCTGGCTGGGCAAGTCTCAGTTTAAGAGGCACATCCTGAGAATTTGAGAATTTGTATTAAAGTTAAGTTACAAAAATCAAAGAACAGACTAAGTCAGAAGCTCGAGAAAAGGCTGGAGAAACAGTTTAGAGATAATAGGCCTTGCTATTCTTAGAGAGGACTTAACTTGGTTCCCAGTACCTATATGCCGAGGCTTACAACTCCAATTCCAGTATGTTTCATACTCTTTTCTGGCTTCTGCATGCACCAGGAACTCACATGGTATACCGACATACATGCCAGCAAAACACCCGTATGTATAAATTCATTTTAAAAATAATTGAATAGCACCATGTCTACAGATGTAGACTGGTGATCCCAGCCTCTCAGGAGCATGTTGCACGAATATAAGAAGTCCAAGGGTGGAGTAGACCACAGAGTGAGTTCGAAGCCAGATTGAGGAACTGAGTTCCTGTCTTGTATTAAAAAGTGTAAAGCACACTAAGATAAAGCTCACAAGTAAAGCATGTTGTCAGCTATTGTAACACCATAGGTTTGATTTTAAATATGAAAAATGATAGTAACAGTAATATGTATACTGTAGATAAGGTATCAATATACATTAACTAATATATAGTTGACTATAACAGAATTTATCTTTCATCTCCTTTGTTTATAGTAGAGTATCAAGTGCCCTGAAATTATCTAACAATACATATATTGTGTAAATCAAACAGGCATTAAAGGGACACTATTCTTCATAAGTAACTTGGAAAGCTAGATAAGGATAATTTGTTTTTTTTTTTAAGAAAAACGATTTTTTACCAGGTCAGATAATTTCTCTGAGTATTTAAGTCTAGAGGATGTCAACTCAGCCTGTCCATGTGGGTGATACAGCAAGGGCACACCTTACTTCAGACGCACTTACCACACCATCCCAGCCTGTAGAGCAGAAGACACGGTGATGGCTTTATCCAGGTCTTTCGTGAAGACTCCTGCTGCTAGGCCATAGGTAGTATTGTTCGCTCTCTTGATCACATCATCTAGAGATTTGAACTTCATGATTTGTTGCACTGGTCCAAAAATCTACAGAATAATAACACACACACAAAAAAAATCAGGTGAACACTCCATATGTTTTAAATACACTACATATGCTTCCCTGGGATCCATTCTACATAGACAAAAGTGCTGTCTCTCACTTCAGATATGTGTAAGGATCAGAACAGGTGACCATGGCCAGGGAACAGGGAAACATGTTCTGATCATGTGTGATTTTCTCTGTGGAGCAGACACCAGTCTTCATGGTAGCATCTAGTCTTACATGCTGTGACAGAGCTGCCCTAAATGAATGAACTGAACATCAAATCACTAAATGCATGATTTCCTTGGAAACAACTTAAACTCTAAGTCTAGTTTTCTTCATTGTTCAAGTTACTACACAAGGCAGCATGACTGAAGAAGAAATCACTCAGTAATATACAGAATTACCAAAAAGTAAAAACTAAAAAATTTATTACTGGAGCCTGATTCCAGAACCTATAGAAACCAAAATCTTAGGTCTCTGGCAATGGCTAGAGTCTCAGGGTAGTGAACAAGAGTCAGAAGTTTTCTAATCCAGTGTGAGCCAGCCTTTTATATCTACTGGAGTCTAGTTACTAAAACCCAATCTGTATCTCACCCCCATCTAATAGGAAACAACTGGGTTTTCACATAGATACAAAACTGCTGAATTTTTGGTAAGGTGTTTATCAAAATAAAATTAAAGGGCTTTCTGAGTGTTAGTACAATTTCCTGGGAAATGGGAACATGGGGTGTCAAAAACTCTCAATTCTCAAATGGTTTTCTGGTTCCAAGTCAATTTGAGTTTGAGGCAGTTAGTGGCTACTACCTGAAGTTTGGGGCAGACCCTAGGGTTCTAATTTCTACCATGATCCCATAACAGAGAAAAAAACAGCATGAAAACTGTAAATGGAAAGCAGCAGGAACAGGACTATGGTGGGTTTGCTCAGAGTAGCAACAACTTTGTCCACACAGTGTGGGCTCTGGGCATTTCAATGAGTATATTACAGGAGCCCAATAAATGCTTTCTTGAATGAAGATTATTTTCTGCTTTACTACCCTTTGTATACAAGTTAACCAAAATCTGTTAGAATGATAGGTATGGTCAAAGAAGAATAGGCCAATAAGTGTAGCAATTGAAATGCAGTTGAGGAGTGAATCAATGCAGATAACCTAAGTATGGTGGATTATCCAAATACATTTGATTTTTATTTCTGTTCCTTGTGTTTATTTCCTCTCCTGGCAAAGCTGGTAGTTCCCTTTTCTCTTTCTTTGTTTATATTATGGAGGTAAAGAAAACAACTTCTCAGATCCTCTTCCATATCAGGGACATGTGTATAGATATACTGGATACTTAAATTATGATTCAGGGCCTTTGAGTCACTGTATCTTCTTGTAGTAACTGACACTTTCATTGTTTAAGGCAAATGCTTATATCTCTGCATATAGCAAAAGCCCTCAGACACATGAAGTATACTAGCTATCATTTTTATCACAAACTGCTTTCTCTTAATTATACACTGAATACTGGTACCATCTTTATTGATGCTACTTGATGGCACCCCCAGAACTCACTTTCACTTACCTTACAAAGACAGTCCACTCTGTCTCTGTGAGTCTGACTCTTTTGTGTTCTTTTTTATGACAGATCTTTCAGTGTAAATTGTTCAGTGCTGGCCTATGTAACACAATGGAGTGCCCATTTGTTTATGTTTTTACAAATGACAGAGTCTTTTCCCATTCCTCTAAAGCTGTAAATGAAGCACCTATAGAAGTAGCTGTGGAATTTGTTCTGTGTTTGATATAAATTGTTTGTAGCCCACTGCATTCATCACTGGTCAGTCTTGATCACAACTTACTTTAGACTGTATCAACAAGAATTTTAGGGGAATGCTACTCAAGGAGCTGAGAGTTTAAGGAGGGACAAATAGGATACACACAGAAGAGTATGGCAGGCCCAGAAACAGAACCTCATGAACCATTACCTCCTCTTTGGCAATGCGCATCTCATCAGTAACATTGGAGAACACGGTGGGCTGGACAAAGAATCCCTTGTTCCCCCAGCGTCCACCACCTAACTCCAATTTGGCTCCTTCTTTCTTCCCACTCTCAATGAGTTCAAGTACTTTATCATGCTGTTCCTTGTCAATCTAGTTGAAAGAAATCACAAGAAAAGAGCCATAGTAATGATAAAACATTGCAAATGAGGGTTTAAAAATGCCAGGATATTCATATTAAATCTGTTTCAAAATAGGTAACAGGTATTCATCTCATTCTTCAGTATGTTTCTTTCTCATGAATTTTTAGGAGAAAACCCTTAAAAGTATTTAAATTGAAAGTGTTGCTTGTCATCACTTATAAAAATGGTGTTATTAATATTCTTGGACTCTCCTAATCTCCTCAAACTTGTGAGGATCAGAAGTGATTCCATGGCATGCTTTCTAACTGCAGGTAATCTCAGTTTCAACATACAGGTACTGCAAATGCTAGCTACAATCAGTTGTAATTTTAGAAACTTTGACAATGTATATGGTACCATGTTGCTATAAAATCTTCTATGGTCATAACTCAAAGGGATATTCCCAAAGAAAATATCTACATTTCTAGCCTATTATATAATTGTAACTGACTTTCCTTAGCCCCCAGCACCCAAACCATGACATGGAGACTTATTATTAGTTATGAATGCTCAGGCTTATCCCACTAGTTCTTTGCACTTATATTAAACTGTTTCTCTTCATCTACATTTTGTCTCTGTTTTTTTTATCTTCTTTTATATTGCATGTCCTGTTTTCCTGCTTCCTCAATGTCTGGTTGACTGGAGACTCCCTGGATGGCTGGTCCCAAGCGTCTCCCTTGTTCTTAAAATTAACTAGACCATATCCTCAAAACTCACTGTTTATTAGTTCTTGTTTCAAGTTTATTTCCCAAATTAAAGTGTTTCACTGTCTTTTACCAGAGAACAGAGTTGGTGGCAATCCAGTCCTTGAATATTTACTAAAAGAAGAGTCAGAAGGTATTTGTTTGCTGGGAACATTATAAGAGCAATGTATTCAAATGGAATAGAACATATTTACATTCAAATGCTTTAATACTGACAATGGCTCTTGCAGTAAGCATCTTGGATATCATAATACAGTTAAAATATGCTTCATGGATCCCATGATAAAAGAACTAAATGAGCAGGTGAGTTAAATATACAGAAAAGACCAAAGGACAAAATGTTAAAACATAAGTCTAATGGAAGAAAATTTGGCAAAACATAGGGACATGTTCATCATGGTTTGTTCAGTTATGTTTCAGATCATCTTATAAGCCCACTCAATAATTCTTGTGTGTATCAGAGGCTTTTATGTTTTCATGGACAAATCTAGGAAATTGGATGGGTCATGATGTTGTAATGGTCTCAAATATACACTTTAGTTTTTTGAATACACAAATTCTCTTATTTCTTAGAGGTGATGTGCTGAAAATCAGATAATTTGAAGAAACACAGCATTACCTGTGGAAAGCCCATATTTGAAAACCATAGTCAAACAAGGCAATTTAGAATAAATATTAAAATGTATTAATTCAACTGATAAGTCTACAATACAACCCCTTCACCGTGCTAAATAGGAGCAAGAATATTTATGAGTTTATAAGAGAATTAGCATGTCTGCTGTGAGAGAGTGTTGGCTATATACAACAGGGAAGCTATACCCATGAAGTCTCAACAATATGTCCACCTAAACAAGACCCAAACAATGATGAAAGCAACAAACAATGAGTTGTGTAGTAATATTTTGTTTGTGTTCTGACAAATAAATCTTGATTGGAGTCAGAGGACAGAGCTAGCCACTAATTAACCTTAGAAGTCTGAAGGATTGTACATAGAGGAGACATGAAGTGATGAGATGGGGTGGAGACAGGATCTTGGCTCTTTTTGTCAGAGGAAAAAGGAGGCAGGAAGTGACTGTGCTGCTCTGCTGCTTCTCTGATCCTTCTGGTTTTTACCCCAATATTTGACTCCTGGTTTTTATTGAAAAGATTTATGTTTCAGACATGATGGAGAAAATTGCACCAGAGGAGGAACTATAGGAAATTAATAGCTGATGACATAGCGAATCAATTTTGACAGAAAAATACTCTGACACGTTATCCAGTCCTAGACCGTAAACCACACCAAATTCACTTGGCAGAATATGTTTATGCACAATATGTAGATATGTGTGTAGTAATAATTAAAGAAAGTGACATTAATTTGAGTAGAAGAAGGGAGGCAATGGGGAGGAGACGAGGGAGTAATAGAAATGTATTCACATCAAATTCTCAAATATTTTAAATTAAAGAAAAAACTAATTGCTTCTAAGAAGAGAACATGGTTACCATGCATAAAGGCATAAAGGTTTTTTTTTAATTTAGTAGACATCTATAAATATACAACAAAATCAGTGTGGTGCTAGATGTGTCAGTGTAACACACAGTATGTCTCATTTCAGTGTGTGGCAAATCCCTGGGACTGATATTACTATGTTCTCATTATAGGCAAGGAAACTGAGTTGAGGAAAGGTCAAATTTCTTTTTCAAATGAAAATACTGATCATTTCAAGTATATCTACATATATACCTATGTATGTGTATAGTGAAGTAAAAGAAAAATCTTTATAAATTAACTACCCCTATATAAATAAGTAACATACCTATTATAACTTCTGGGAAACTCAAATACAGTTCATTGGTAATCATAAAAAAGAAGACCTCCCAAAATTGTGGAAATTATATTTCCTATACAGATATATAGGACATTTGGTGTCACCATACATCTTTGGTTGTGATACAGTATGTATTCCCAAAATCTGTTTAAAAAGACTTGGTGACTCAATCAACAGTGGGTAAGATACTACTCAATGTCTCTTACTTTAGGCTCTTTCATTTTGGGGGCAGGGGTGAGGGGAGGTTTGAGACAGGGTTTCTCTGTGTAGCCTTTTGGATCCCTTCCTGGAAATAGCTCTTGTAGACCAGGCTATTCTCAAACCCCGCCTCCCTCTGCCTGCCAAGAGCTGGGATTGTACCACCACTGCCCTGCATGAGCTCTTTCTCATTAAAGAGAGGAGAGGACATTGAGATGCTTGGGACTTACCCCTTTTGTTGGCCAAATTCACAGCATGACTGTCTTTTCTACTTACTCAGTACTACCTGCCACAATCAGCTATGAACTCACAGAGTGGATCCCTGTGATAATCGGGTAGAAAATGGGATTGTGTGCTCTCAATTTATATGATTCAATATTTAAAGTCTATGTTATTGTATTCTTCTTAAAAGTTATAAAATATCGAAATGTACTTTTTGAGGATATTGACTTCTTTCCAGTAAAGACATTTATTGGCCCTTGTTTAGTAGTATGTATTACAGATACCAATGGCTCCTCCTTTTCTTTACTGTCTTTCAAGTATGTAACACTGTGTCACAAGTCTAGCATTTATTTGTCTTCCATTCATCTGCTCTCTATGTCTTCTATATTCTCATTAATATATCTAATGATAGACATGTTTTATGTTTATGTATAGAGACTTAGAATGGGAAACAATAACAACAAGACCATTCAGAATTATACATTTTTCTGAACTATGAGACTCACAAATAGAAATGTGAAAATTACTAAATATGATGAAAATCACCAAATACTAAATAATCTCTGAACTCAATGATAAAAAATGCAAAACTACTAAACAACACTATAATGCCCTCACTTGACAGTTACCTTATATCGTTTTCTTTTTGTCCTAAAGATTTTCTACTTGTATGCTTATGCCAAGTAGAAAATTCCAGGACCTTCTTCCAAGCTAAATCTGTCCAGAGAAAATAGTGACCATGTCCTCTTTGGGTTTTACGGCTTTGCCTGGCTTCTCTCTTAAGGTATGGTAGTAATGTACTCAATTTCTTAACTGAATTTAAGTTACACTTATTAAATAACTCAAGAATAAGGCTTTGTTCCAATTCAACAGGAGAAACAGTATATAATAGTTAATATGAAAAAATAGCAAACAACTCCAAGGTCAGTGTCCAGTCCCTAATGCACTGCTCTCAGGAACAGTTCTACTGGCACTTGGGGGCAGTAAGATCATTGTTTTGAGGTTGCCCTGTTCACTACTGGTGCTCAGCAGCATTCATTCCTCTGCTCATAGATGTGAGTAGATCCCTTTCACCTTGTTGTGACAATTTAATCTGTCTCCAGATATGGTCAATGTCCTCTATTGTGGGATACAGAGGGAGGAGTGAGCTTAAAAGGTCCAAGGACTTGAACAATGAACCATGAACAAAAGCTGTGCAAAAGCAAAAGGTTAATTTTAGATGAGAAACAAAGACATTCATATTTGCAGTGGATGTAACTACAAAGAAGAAACCTAGAGTCCTCAGGGAATGCCTGGCTTTTGATAATTAAAAGGAGAAGCTTATCTGACCCAGAATCCAAGACCTTCCCAAACACGATATCATTACATCGGAGAAACTGAGGACCCTGCAGAGAGTTAGGGAGTGCTTACGATTATAGAATGTCAGTTGAGATAAAGGATTGATTACAAGGGAGAATTTACAGATATGCATACAAACATCCAGAATAAAAATTGCACATAGAATTTACCAATGAAAGACTGCAAGAAATGATAGCATTTTTAAATTTTCCTTATTTTTGGTATGTCTACATGAGTGTGGTATGTATGTGGGTGGGTTTTCATGTACGTGAGCATAGGTAGCAGCAAATGCATGTACAGGTGTGAGCAACTGCATGTGGGAAAAGTGTATATAATTGCATTACATATACATACATGTGTTTGGATGCCAAATGTTGACACTGAGTGTGGTCCTCAATGGTTTTCAAGTTTTTCTACTGTGGAGGGCTCTATCACTGAACTCGTGGGTCCAGTCTTACTAGCCGGCTGACCCTTTTTAACACTGGGACTACAAATGGATTCCTACTCAATCCTACTTTTATGTGAGTGTTAGAATCAGAACTCTGGTCTTTAGGGTTGTGTGACAAATGTTTTTATGTGTTGATCCATCTCCTCAGACCTTCTTTTCATGCTTAATTTCCACCATGACTCCTACAAAGGTTCTAGATAGGGAAAACAAAACAGAATGATGTCACTGCATTTTAATTAAAACACCAGATCAAAACAATATCAGCTACCAATGAGCATGAATTAGAAATTAATCTTACTCAACTGAAATTAGACATGAAAAGATTAGTTTTGACATCCAAAGTTCTTGCTTAACATTTACTCACCTGAGGACCTTGATTTATTTCTGAGTTCAGAGGATTTCCAAGAACGTACTTCTTAGCCCTCTCAACACTCCTTTTCACAAACTCATCATAAATTGACTCCTCAACAAAAAGCCTGGATGCTGCCACGCAAACCTGTCCCTGGTGGCAGAACACCCCCTGGTGTGCAAACTCAATGGCACTGTCCACTGCAAAGGAAGCATTCACAGGAAAGAAGGAACATAAGATGGAAGATTTTCTAAAGGATATGTATTCACACATACACACACATATGTATATATATATTTCTACGGTGAAATATGGTGATAGAAAAAAATGATCAACCATCTGATGAGACACAGACTCAATATATTCTACTGCTTGGAAGCCAGGTAACAAATTAACATGGAGATAATAACAAGAGAGCTCTGAAAAGGCGGTGTCTATTATGACTTTCTGAAGAACATAGATTTGATTAGAAGATCAAGTATCATTGCAAATTATTTTATATCTACTTCCATTTTATAATTCTTCAAGAAATTATATTTCTTTTAGGTGTCAGGTTTTTAATTAGCTGACAAGATAAACCTGAATTATCTATTGCCTTTAATAATTTTAAAACATTACTATTTTGCTCAATAGAAAAAAAAAGTTATCTTTCTGAAAATGACACCCAAACAATGAAAACTCACTACATCATAGCAATTCGCCCTTCCATCCTTAATCCAGGAAAAACAGTTCCAATATCTAACGAAAGCCTAAATAATAGAAGCAAACTAAACTCTTAGTTTAGGTGGTCCAATATGCCTTGAATTTTGTGTTAGAATATTGTTGATTCTAAACAAAAAGACATAGGTGTGTGTGTGTGTGTATTTTAATTTTAAAATGAGGATACTCAGTTTATGATTGTAGAACTTGCATGTATATCAGTGAGCTAACAGCAGTTGTTGAAAGTGTAGTGAGGAGAGTTTCCAAAGTAACAAACTAGGAATCTTCGTAACCAAGTAGTAAGTTTTAATATTTCCAGTAAAGACCCCAATAGTGACAACAGTGAATTCTGTTGACCCTTTGTTTATAGTTTCATTTTAAGTCTGAGTCACTAAAGACTGGTTAAAGGAATTATTCCCCATACCTTCCTACTAGATCATTACTGTTTAGGAAGTAACATGAGGATTTCATAAAATAAGAATGATCTGGATCGTTGTTAATAAGGACACATCAAAACAATAAACTTAACTACCCTTAAAATGGAAAAAGAGAGAAATGATTTAACAGTTTCAATTTTCTTCTGGCCCTTTCCAGGTGAAAGATCCAGAGTGAAGACAGGAAAAGTAGGAACATGCTGACAACCAAGCTACTTTGGTCCCAAATGTTTCAGGTATCTTATGTCCTCAATACAATTAAAGTTATGCAATTATCAAAACCATATCATATAGTCTAGATTAAGGCCATTTATACTATCTCAGATTGCTACTTGGAAGTAGCAATCTACTCCAACCCAGGACAAAAATCTCTCTGTACTTGTCAACTATATACCACAGGAACACTTTAAAATCATTCCAGAATCACCACAGACTTTAGTTAATTTCTTTTTACTTTGAAGCAAAGTCACATTTGAGACTCCAGGTGGCTGTATGACATCATCAAGCATCAGGAGGAAGAAGGTGAGATGCTAGCAAGGGACTTGTACTCACAGTCAGCATCTGCAAACACAATGCAGGGGCTCTTTCCCCCAAGCTCCAGTGTGACCCTCTTCAGATTGCTTTTCCCTGCAGCTTCTTTGATTAATTTGCCAACCTGAAAGTAGACATCGCAGAGGAGGAGGCTTAGTTTGTTCTAGTATAAACGGGTTGTTTTTAATACTTTCCATTCTATTTAATTTCATTTGGAGGAAACATGAAATTGCGCTATGCAAGATCTGGTGCCTTCAAGTGTAAAAGCCTCCATCACTAAGTCTGCAAATATGAGGCAAATCAGAAAGTGCTCATGGGAAGAATTGAGAGCTGACTTCCTACGTGAACAGATAAAAGTTTATATTTCATTTTTATCAGAATGTCCTCTCTGTACTTGATCAGAAATACCCCAAAAACCTTATGCACTGACTTCTCATCCTTCTAGACATTCAGAGAACTCTGTCAAGCTAAAACAGTATCGTATCTATCATCGAAATCTCAGTTCTCTCCCTCTCTCCCAACTCAGACTGCCTCCAGGTTGGTTGTTTACATGGTATCAGTTCTTAACATAGTCCCTTCTTCAGTCTTGTTCTGATGAGATGGACATGATTCTTTTTTCCTAGCCTCCTAAAGCTCATAAAGATGTTCCTGAGTCCATCTTAAGTGGTGTCATGTATATCTGTGTAAATCTAAAAACACAGTCGCTGCCTATTTCCCCACCTATTTATCAGAGTGTCCTCATTCTTAGTCACCTACCTTCCTCCCCACCTCTCAAACACCTGTCACTTTGCACAGAAAAAGAAACTGGCTCTGAGCTCTTTGTTCCTACTACACTGAGCTGGAATCCCACCATTCTTGCTTCATTAATTCTGGTTGCTTCTTTGAAGAAACATACATTGCTTTTGTTTTATTTTATTTTCTCTGTGACTCTTTTCCTGTCTGGAGAATTATCTAAGATCATTTTTGGCTTTGACTTTTGAATCCCATTTTAATTATCATTGACTCTCCATTTTACATATTGAGACCACAATATTCTAAGATGATCTACTTTCTCATTTAGAGGCAACCATTGTATTTTGTTTCTTTTATCATCTGGCTTTTGCCTACTCCACATGCTAGAATGTAATGAAAGGTTTCTATTTTATCAGAAAAATAAGGTAAGTTTTTTAGTCTTACATTGAGAATGAACTGCTATTAGACAATAGAGAATTAATTTGTTAATATTTCTAATCTTTTAAATATTTTATGAATAAATTTAACTCTGAAATTATATCAGTAGAAATAAATAAATAGTAAACATGCTTAGAGAAACCCTAAAAATGAACATGTACCCAATTATTCTTTCATAGTTCCTTCCCTACTCTCCCTTCCTCCAATTCTTCCTTCCTGCATTCTAGTCTTTCTTTTTCTTTTGCTCTATCTTTGATTTTCTAAGAGTATCTCCCTATGCAGCTTAATCTGACCTTAAATCTAATATCCTCCTGATTCTACCTCTAAAGTGCTTGAAGTCCTTGTGAGTGCCACCATATCCAAACATTACAACATATTTCTTAGCACCATTTTCCCTTAAAATGATTAAGAATATCACATTTTTTAGATAACAAATTCTTGTATCTCTTTTTTTCACATTTAAAAAAAATCCAAGTTTACTGAGGAAGTCCTGCTCTCATCTAGCTAATGTTTATCTTGGGGAATGGAAGTATTAGAAGATGTTTTTCTAGAATCTACAGATGTTAAGAGAATTAAGTGGAAAGCTGGATAGAAACATTAGTGAGAAAGGATTATTATTATTGTTGTATACATTCACACGGCTAACCAGAAGTGTGCTTGAATTTTCCAATTAAACAGAAAACAATTTTTAGCCTACAACTTCATTTCTTCATACAGAGAAATAAAATGTTATCAACTTCAATGACAAAACAGAATTCTTAAGGCTGTGGTGGAAAAATGTGTTCATCGTATTGTTGCATTGCTGTGTAGCATAAAACTAGCGAGTGTTCCCTACCACCAAAATGGACTATGTCTTACTGTGTGGCTAGAAGTCTATTTTTAAAAGAATGTAATACAAGTTTTGTTAGAATTGGTCTCATTGTTGTTTTGACCATGAGAAATGCTGCCCTGTCTTTTACATATTTGCCAGTATCTCTAAGTTAACAAGTCCACCTGACACTTGAAGAAAGAAGCAAAATGAGGTTGAGCTGAACCAATGCTATTTTTGTTCACTGTGGTGTCTATAAACATATTGCTAACCTGTATTTATTCAGTATTAATTCACAAAGGAGATTATATCTTTTGTGGATAACATAGAACAAGAGAGTCTTTGAGACTAACCATGCAAGGAAGAGAGACTAACTATGAGACAAGGACATTCATGCCTTCGTTATTCCCTCAGACCTGAGGATACTGGCATCAAGGCAGTGCAGAAGCACTGGGAGTCAGCGGAGAGGAATTTATGTCAATGTACAGGCCAAAGTCTGGGCAAATTAAAGACAAAGGATTAATCAAGAGATGAGAGCACACAACAACCACCTCCTAAATTAATATGAGAAAGTAAGAGTAGGGACAAGGAAGCAGACGCTAAGAATGCTTTGCAAACATTTTACTAATTACTCAGCAGGGTGCTAAATGTCTTCTTCTACCAGCTCTCTTGTTGTGTGAAACTGAATAAAGTAGGAATTACAGTCCCTGGGATTTCAAATAAAGAAACTCAAACTGGGAAAGGAATCTTCTGTTTTCTCAGCCATGCCCTTCTTATTGGAAGCCAAAATTTGACTAGTCTCCAAATTTCATTGTTTATTTTTCAGAAAGTGAGGGGGCATAAGGATAGCATTACAGGTATATCAAAAGGACACCAAGCTGAGGATTAGTTATGATAATCATAGAACAAAGCTGCTGCCAGAATCAATGAACATCAGACACTGGCAGAGGCAAACTGGAGAAGTGCCCACAGGATCTGGGTTCAGAAGAGTTCATTGCATCCCTGTTACAGAGGATGTAGAATTCTAGGCTTCCTTCTGGCCTGCCTGTTTAATACCTCACTATCACCCTACCTACTGCATCATCACAGCTAAAGCTATCATCACGTGTTGGAAACCATCATGCCTTTTTTCCAAAGGAAATCTTGAATGTGTGGTTGGTTTTACGTATCTCAGTCAGAGATTTGCATTATATACTATTTTTCTACTATCTATGAAAGACAAATATACACACATTTGAAAAGAGGAGGAAAATCAAAACTCAATGTCTTATTTCAATTCTGTGTGAAGTTTCAAAACAACATCTAAGTAGCTAACTGCAATTATGAAAAAATGAACTTATTCTCAATTCACTACATAAAATGTTTCTTCTTAAAACCTTTAGTAAGTTGCATGTTTGCATGAGTTTTAGTCTCTTGATACATCGAATAGAACTTTGAAGTGTCCAATCACCTTCTCCATCCTACCTGTTTCTTGGGTTGGCAATTTAGTGATGTCTTGATGGGAGCCATGTAACCTAGTCTCATATCAGCATATGACTACCTACCCAACAGGTTTCTTGAGGGCAAGGTACCTGTGAAAGCAGACTCTTACTTGGCAAAGACCAGTAGTCCACAGGGCAGCACAGGAATTTGCAAAATGTGTGCCTCTCCAAGCTCTTTTCTCTCATTATATTGGTGATCCTTTGGATGGCTTTTAGTTTTACTTTGTCAGTCACATAAGCAATAGTTTTAATTATCTTGGAAATTCTGTTCTTTCTCAAATATTTTTACTTAAGATTCAAAAGGGAGCAAATGCTTCTCAAAATCTCTTATCTGATTAGTAACTACAGCAGGGAACTTTTCTGACTCAATAGACAGTGAAATACATATGAGAAAATAACACGTGAAACATCAACCATATTTCATAGTAAGGCACTTATATACAGAAAAGAGGAAAGCCTCAGGAATACAAATAGTGGAAACTGTTGAAGGAGGTTCCCTGAAAACCAAGCATAGAATCACTGGTAGGATATTGTAAACTCCAAGAGGAAATAATATAATGCAAAATGGGGGACAGATAGATCTATTTTTACCATGCACAGGAACTTATATTGGTGGAAGAAGTATGGTATAGTGAGATGGCAAAAGAGTGCTCTATCAAGGTCTGCTTTTTACAGAAAGGTTGAGACATGGAACCCTCTTGCAGAAAATGGAACTGTAGAAAAGCATATCTTGCAGAAAGTAAAGAATTGTCTGGATTTGATGTTGTTGACCTTAAAGCATTGTACCCATGTCTATTACTTTTTAACTTTGTAAGCACAAGTAGCTGCCCACGGACTTAAGTGCCACAAGAGCAGAATGATGACAGGCTCCATACTTAGTTAAGCCTGCAAAAAAATGATGAACTATGTCTAGAATAAGGTTATGTAGGGTATTTGTAGCTGCATTTGGGAAAGCATTAAGGGGAACAATGGGATATTTCATAAAAATCACAATGTATTCTTTGAATTGTTATGTGTTTTAAAGTCAAAAATAGAAGCCATTATATGCCATCCGAGGGCCTTCATCCAGTAGCTAATGGAAGCAGAAGCAAAGAAGCACAGTTAAGCACTGAGCCAAACTTCTGGAATCCAGTTGTAGAGAGGGAGGAGGGATGAGCAAAAGGGTCAAGACCAGGCTGGGGAAACCCATAAAAACAGCTGACCTGAACAAGGGGGAACTCATGGACCCAAGACTGATAGCTGGGAAATGATAACATGACTATTCCAGACCGCCTGAATATGGATGTCAATTTGGAGATCTGGTTAATCTATGAGGCCTCAGATAATGAATCAGTATTGGTCGATAGCACACAAATGGAGTTTGGGAGCCCACTCCACATAGAGAGATATTCTCTCAGCCTAGACATACAAGAGAGAGCCTAGGCCCTGCTCAAAATGATGTGACAGACTTTGATGTTTCCCTCATGGAAGACTTCACCCTCCCTGGGAAGCAGAAGAGTGATGGGATGGGGGATTGGTAGGGGACATGGGAGGATGGGAGGAAGAGGAAACTGGGATTGATATGTAAAATAAGATTGTTTCTAATTTACATTTTAAAAAGAAAAGAAATAGAAGCCATTAATAAAGCTGTTCATGTAACCCTGATGAGGAAAACTTTAAGTATAAATAAAGACAGCCTGAGCTATTTGGGGTGACTTGAGTTCAACCCACTTGGTAGTTAGAAGTTTTCCTTCTGCCAATGCCCTTTCCCCACCTCAGGACCTGAACCTGAGTCGAGGTTGTACCCTGGCAAGATCTACTCATGCTTACTTTTCATATATGCCAATGAGCCATGCAGTATCTTTTTGTCAATAGTTAATAGCATTCCAAACTCACAGAGTGACACAAACATGACTATGTTTGAAACAGCGTAATATCTATATACATTTTGGTTTCTAATAGAAACTCATTCAATCCCCAGAATTATATATTTCACAAGTCTTTCTCTAGTACTCTCTCTCCACTTGCTGAGTCTTGTTACAGTTGTGACTGGTTCTGGTTTTTCAACTGTCATCTACTCATGGTGTAGTCTGGCACATAGAAAACCAAGGCTCTGCCAACAGGAACATGGAAAAAAAGCCGAATTTATCTCCCTCTCAGAGTATGCTGGGTTTCAGGACCCATGAAAAGGAGTCCATTCCATCTTGCCACAAGTTCTGTCTCATTGTTCATAAGATATTAGTTTGGCAGCTACAGGATGTTTTGGCCTTGGTGGTGGATGTCTCTTATCTAAACAACAATAGGCTTGGGCCCAGGTGAACATATTCTTGACCCTGAATGTTGGTTGGCACATATGGCTAACAAATACCTGGAGGATTAGGAGAAGTAAATCTCTTTGCCCTTTGTACATGATAGTAGATGTCTTCTGCCATATTGTCCTCACAGTTGGCTGAACAGATAAGATCATTAAAGAATAAACTAAGGGAGCATTTAGTATGGACTGAATGGCCCTCCTGACAGATATCCTGTATCTGTGTCGGGGATTCCTAATCCCTTTAGCTATCTTTTCTCTCACCCACACTCCCCCTCTCAGGCAGGAACCTCGGGCTCCTCGGCTGGCTCTGACTGTAGCCCCACAAACACAGGCTTCCAACAGTTGTGTAGACACAATCGCAAACAAGGCACTAGAGGTGATACTCTACCATTTACTTTTCTTAATATAGAGGCAGTAATATCATTGATTCATACAAATCACTGTGGCCTAAATTGTATTTCCTACCATAAACTTTACTAATCATCTGACAGTCTCAAAGGCTATATTGCTCCTAAAAGATTGTAACGATTATGCTAAAAATTGTTTACTCTAGTCTTTCCACATGAGTAACAGGAATTTTCTTCTGCCCAAAATTCATCCACTTGTGCTTAATACACCTATTTGTAGGCTAGAATAAATAACAAAACACCAAAGGAACTTTTGTAAAGAAAGCCTTGGCTGAGAGACACCTGCAAAGAGCATGCTTCTGCTTGATAGAGATGACACCTTCAGGAAACAACTCTACCTCTGTTGATCCCGTGAAGGACACTTTGTCGATGTCCATGTGAGAAGAGATGGCTGCCCCTGCAGTTGGCCCATAACCAGGGACAATGTTTACCACGCCAGGAGGAAATCCTGCCTGCAAGTTAAGAAGCAAGCAGTTAGTAGATCAGGAATTTAATTCATAAAAGACGGAGTGGAATATTGATGCTATTTCATTACACTCACCTTTGGAGTACTTTTATCAAGAAGGTATACCTAAGTATATTTTTCCTTTATTCATTACTGTTTTCAGTTTCTCATCCATAGGAAAATATCTCTGAAGGTGGTAAACCCTTAGGACACCGTGTTATAAGGGCAAATCTGTCACCATTGTTATATTAATTACCTTTCATTTGGTATGATAAAACATCAAGCAATCTTGGGAAGAAAGGGGTTTATTTGGTTTACAGGTTATATTTATTGTTGAGGGAAGCCAAGGTAGGGAATGAAGCCAGGAACAAAAGCACAGACCATAGATAAATGCTAAGCACTGCCTTACTTTCTCTGGCTGGAACAGCTACCGTTCTTACACAGCCAGGCCTACCTGCCTAGGATAATACTACAGTGCCCTGGGCCTTACTACATCAGTCAATGATCAGGAAAATACCCCATAGGCATAGCCACAGGTCAATCTGATGAAGACAATTTCTCATATGAAGTAACTTCTTCTTAGGTATGTCAAATTGACAACAAAATTGTGACAACTGTTCATAATCCCGATGATTACCTGTATCAAATTTCGTAAAAGTAACTCAAATTGCTAGGATATAGGAGTACATGATAAATTACTTGTGTAGAAAGACAGAATTTATTGTTTCTGCCAGTTAAACTAGAAATATATTGGCACAGCAGGCATACTGGCATAGAAGCCTCTAACATTTAGAGATAATAAAATTCACATAAGTTTACAGAAGCAACTAGGTCAGTTATAAGCTGGATGGTGAAGATATAGCACAATATTTCACCACTTGAGAAAACATTATACTTCCTCTGGAACTTATATTGATGAGATATGAATAATATAAATAACCAGTTACAAAATGTCTGGCTATAAGCCTGTGTCATTATTTAGATAGAGATACATTTGTTCTGACTGAAAAAAGTCGCAGACCCTAGCTCTTCTGCTTTCATCTCCATGAGTGGGCAGGAGCCATATGCGAGCCGTGAAGCTCACAATATGAGGAATGAGGTCTCTAAGGTAAACAGGGGACCCTGAATTTACCTGCATGTGGTGACTCTGGAGACTCACCTCTTTTATTAAAGATGCCATGTGAAGAGCAGTGAGAGGAGTTTGTTCTGCTGGTTTGACAATCACAGTGTTCCCACAGCAAAGGGCAGGGCCTATCTTCCAAATGAACATTATCAAGGGACCGTTCCACTGGAAAGCAAAATTGAACAATGAACTGTTTTCATTACTCGAAAACACAGTGGTTATTGATGCTTGCCTCCCTGATAAATGCTGACTAATATTTTGGAAGTTGTGTACAATTATCTAGTTTATTTTACTTAATTCACAAAAAAACTAGTAAATGATTTTAAAAAAAGCACCAAACAAGCTGTATAGGAGAAGGGAACAGGAAAATGCTACCAAATCTAATCAAGTCCTGTTACTTTGAATCCCTATGTTATAAAACAAATGCTACCGCATGGTTTTCACATATAGTTAAGGATGCTGTAATTTTCTCATGTTTTAAAAGTGTGAAATATCCTCTTTTTTCTCCTTAAAAGGCAAATGTAGGGTATTTTAAATTTATAAAACTCCGTATCCAAGAGATTGTGTGTGTGTGTGTGTGTGTGTGTGTGTGTGTGTGTGTGTGTGTGTGTGTGTACTAGACAGTGATACCAGCAATGTAAGCACATTGAATGTGTTCTCTACATCAGTGAGCTAGGTTGCTAGGTTCAGCCCAGGACAAAGAACATTGTTAAAGGCAATGAGGTATCACATCCAGAGGGTGAATGGGGAAGCTAACATTTAAACTTATTCAATATTCCTAGCTGGTAGAGTGATGTAGGTGTGTTTGAGTGTTTTTCTACGATTTTGAAGTACTAAACACTTCCCTGAAATGCACTTATATGTTCGGTGTCACTAAACAAGAGTCACTGTCATTTCAAAAACTTCAGGACACCTTGTGTGTTTTAATTTAGCCTTTTAAATTATATCAAGTAAGCTGTATGTGGCCAGTGTCCTGTGTTAACCGTAGAGGAAATTTGGTTACACCCAGAACATGATATTTGGCAGAAGAATTTTGAGTTCCCAACTCTGCTACCTAAAGGTACAATACAGGCCAAACACTGTTCAAGTTTTCATGAAGATTATTTCCTTCCACTTCAATCTAAAGGCATTTTCCAGGATTTGAACAATCTTGTTTCACTTAATGTCCACAGTGGCAAGTCTCAAGGAGACACATGCTGGGAGCAGATGAGCTGTGATAAGCCTTTGTCACATACTTACAAAGCACAGCTCATGAAACCAGAGCATAGCACAATTTCCAAAACAGCCAATGCAATAAACACTTAGGGCTTATTTGGCAACACTGAAACACCCTCTAAGGTAAAGCAGTATTTAGATGGGGGTCTGCACCAGCTAGTTCATATCCAAGAAGCAAAGGTACAGGAATATATTCTTCAGCACTCATGCTTATTGAATTTAATTCACACTTAACCATCACACAAGTTTCACTTGTGTGAGGATGGGTTTCAGATCAAATAGAATTATTGCTTTTTGCCCCATTAGAGTCATGAAGGAGAACTTACAGGGAGGATTTGGCCACACACCCCAATTGGTTCACGTCTTGTGTAAGTGAAAATATCTCCATCTGGAAAACAGAGCAGACACAGAATCCATTAAAGGCAAATGTGGTAAGATGCATGGCAGAGAGATTCAATGTTATATGAGGAGGTCCCCAGTGAGTTTACAAAAGGGAAACAAAATATCCTATCTGTAAGGTTGATAGCATTGACAATAGAGTCCTTAAACAGCAATTCCAGTCTAAAGACTGGGGTACATGAAAATAAGTGACAAGATGGGGAAAGACCTGATAGGCTGTTAACTCCATTCCCTGTATTCACAGATGGCTGCCTTCTGTATCACTCTCATACAGAGTAGTTCAGAAAGGAAGTGGGAGGTGATGTACTCTCACAGTAAGTGCAGAGTCACATGCAAATGTTTGCAGCATCTCAAATGCCCCAGTAGCATCAACTTTTAAACAGGTAAATTATTTAAAATAGTAAAACTTCTCCGAGGCATAAGAAGTCTTTCTCTAGACGTGTTCTAGTGCAAGGTTTCCTTTTTTTTCTACTAAACATAAATGCAATCTCTTATTCTGTGAGTAAAATATCTAAAGTAAAATGTGATTCTTCTCTATCTTGATTTAACTGAATCTTGTGCCTCACTAGCAGCACAAACCTAAATATATCTTGGGAGAGGACATCTTAATTGATAAAATGTTCCCATCATACTGCTCTGTAGGCAAGTCTGTGAAACATTATCTCAATTATTGTTGGATGTGGAATGGCCCAGCCCACTGTGAACAGTGTCATCCCTTGGCAGATTATCCTGGAATGCATAAGAAATAAGGCTGAGCAAGCCATAAAAAGTAAGCCTACAGTAAGCTCTATCTGTCCATTGCCTCTGCTTCCATTGCTGCTTCCAGGTTTTTGCCCTAAATTTTTGCCTCTTTTTTCCCTCAGAGATGGAGTATCGTGTGGAAATACAAGTAAAAGAGATCCCATCCTTAACGATTTGATCCTGGTCATGATGTTTTACCACAGCAAACACTCACTTTGATATAGCCCCATTTGGAGTGGTACATTTTGTTCTGACTTCCACAGGAACTTGCTACCACACTAGTACTTCCCTGTCAAAATCTAATGGAACTTAAAATGCCTTCCGCTATGTTTCCTAAGAGTCATGAAATATCCCCCTTCCTAGTACTCTCGTTGTCTTATTCTCATCTTCTAACTTCCTAGCTAACACCTCTTATACTGTATTGTCAAGTTAGAGTGGAAGTGCACACCATAAACAGAACTTGAAGCTGATCGTTTCCATTCCTATACTCATTACAGTGACAGATGTGTGACTGCCTCCAATTCTTCCCCAACTGATTCTTTTCTCATGTAAAATGTTTGTCATGTGTCTGCTCTGCTACTTGTATACCTAAGTAATAGACAACATTTCCATGCAAAGTTTCTTAACGCACCTGATAATCATTGTCTTGTCTTGTTTGGATGTTTTAGGAGCGCATTAGTCTAAATTGTGTTATTGAAGTACCCTCAGCTAAGTACACTAGGCTTAAATGGGCACAGATTGGCACAGCTAATTTATTCTGGACATGCAAAGTCTTAGGTTACAATATTACAGAGGAGATGTAAATGTCAGTATATGGAAATGGAGCTCAATATACAATTTCCATCACCAGCTTTGAAAAGTAAGGACCATGAGACATCTCCCTCAGATTAGTAGTTGAGTCTATGAGAATGTTCTTACTAAACTATCCACAATGTTGGCTACTAACAGAACTTCCAGCATCACAACTGTTGGGTCAATGTGCAGAGGAAAGCAATTATTTGCCTGGCTGATGCACACATTATTCAGGCAGATCTGTTCTAGTGCCCTCGCCTTTATCATCATGCTAGTAGTTTCCCAAGAATACTTACCACTTGGTATTGTTTGACCATGGATCTTGTCAGCCCAGCCTGCACAGTACTTTAATGTTTTTAACATCATCTCGAAATCCATCATGTAAGCCTGGGTGAAGAGTCTGCCAGCATTCATTGACTCCATTGTCTGAAAAACAGGTAGTAATATCAAAGTCTAAACTATCAACAATAAAAATTAGATCAAGAATATGAAGTCAATCTTTTTATTGTCTATGTACTAGAAACTTTTAGAAATAGAAGGATGCTTAAATCTAATGCTCCTTTGAAAACAACTTAAGAAAGAATCAAACGTCTCTTTGTGGTCATATAACAAGGTCATGGTGTGAGAGGTCATGAGGTTCTAATTGCCTGACCCCCCCCCTAAACTTTCTGTCAGATTCTAAGTACCTTTGGCTAAGCAGTATCTGACCACTGTTATATAAGTTCACAGCTGTGAAAATGATTCTTAGTATCCTATCAGAGTTCCAACAAAATTTTACTTGTCAGATGACTGTATATTTCATCAGGGATTTGCTATAGCAAAGTTTTAAAACATAAACCCCCATTTGGTAAATATTTTTATAATTATTTCAACAATCTCTTCTCTCAGAGCTTAGTGAACCACATGTAAGACAAGCCAGAAAGATTGTAAGAGCCAGAGACAACAGATGACACCAGGAGAACAAGACCCTCTAGTCCAACTAAGCAAGGTGTACACTAAGAAGTCAAAGAACCGAAGCAGCAAGCACAGGGTCCACTCGGGTTTGCACCGTGTCTTCTGCATATATACCATAGCTCTTAGCTTATTATTTTTCTGACTCTCATGCCTGCTCGTGAAGCTTCTTTCCTTCTGTTTGCTTGCTGTGCTCAACTTCAACATTATGGATTAAATTTATTTTAGACTTTATTTTATTGTCATGTTTGGTTGTTATCTCTTAGAAATCTATTCTTTTCTAAGGAGAGACAGAAAAGAAATGGAACCCTATGCAGGGATGAGAAACAGGGATAAATACAGAGAGGTGGGCAAATACAATCAGGATATATTATAAAAGAGAAGAATCTGTTTTAAATAAAGGGAAAATAAGAGATTATAATGTTCTACATTTTCTTATCTCAGCAATAACTTCTGCTCTTTTTATGCAGACTTTAAAAGACCCTTTGAAATAATACATTCTACTGGGAGGTCACCTGGCAAGATGCACAGGTTTAATACTGTCCATTTAATACTTATTCTCCTCTCCCTATGGCTCCCAAGCTCACAGAAGAAATTAATACTTTTCACTCTGCATTAAGACAAATGAGAAGAGCTAAGCTTTGGGAAATGCCAGTTACTTTCAACCAAACATTTCAGTTTCTATGCATTTATTATAGAGCTATATATTCTATGTTGGCATGTTTTGAACAACACAGAATCCTTAAAGAATAAAGGATTCTCAACAATTGCTGATTGTTAATATTTTGAGAAAATAAAATTTTGAATCTTATTGCCAATTAAGATTCTAAAGTTATCGACATTTACTCTGAGTTGTAACCTGTGTGCCACTTTGCTTTTGGTTGACTTTACTAAAATTAAAGCTGAAAAGACAAAGGGATGGACCCTCCATCCTTGTTCTATACTGACTTATCTAACTATTGAAATTAGAAAATGCAGGCCCTGAGAGCATGAAGAGCTTTCATGAGTCTAGCACACCTGGCTTCTGGACTCTGAGAAGTTCTAGAAAATGCCAGGAGCAGTTTGGCAATCTGGCTTAAAACCAAACTGACTGGCCACTTGGAGCGGTGCATGCTCTCCAGAGTCTCCATTGGTGCTAGTGAATACTCACAGTCAGCAACAGGCGATCTCTTTCCATTAAGTCAGCCAGTTTGTACAGGAGGCGCCCTCTTTCTGAAGCATCCATGGTGCGCCATGGGGAGCCAATCTGAAAAGCTTGCCGTGCAGCTTTCACTGCTTTGTCAATATCTGCCTAGAAGTCACAGACATTCAATTCAGGATATTCAAAATAGTAGATGAGCAAAAATAACACCACAACCTTGTAAACTAGGACACAATCCTCACAAGCTGGAGTTAGACCTTCATTAGTCAAAAGTCCAGGACATTTCACACACTCTGCACCACATATATGCTGGAATGATTTCTTTTGATTAATGTTTCAAATAAGCTCCATATCCTTGTCAAATAGTTAAACTCCTACAAGTGTTGTTCTAACAGTTATTACTTTATCATATTATAATAGGACAAAGTGTTTATTTTAATTGAAATAGTGTTCTAGTTAATTTATACAACTTATCTCATTTGATTCAGAAAATGCTGTGAGAAAAATCTATTCCTCATTTTACAGATGAAGAAGTTAAAGCAAAAAAGGAAAGACTATCTCAGAGTGGCTGTAAGTCGAGTGCCCTGTTCACAGCTCTACATCTGGTACTCAGACCCTCAAGACCATACTCTCTCATAGCCTCTCAAAACAGTGCCACCAACTGGGTGAAAACTGTATAAATTTAAGAGCTTATGTTAAATGCTTCACATTTAAACCAAAGCACTATGTGTATGATAAGCCTCTATTTCTGAATTGTGTATGAAGTGATCTACTCTAGTCCCTAATCAAATAGAGAAGAGAGTCTCTTTTATTAATAATATGTTGTTTATAATCTCATTAATTGAAGAAAAATGCAATAATAAAGTCACACACGCAGTGTTTAGCTTTCTTGTTTTCAATCATGTATCACCACTATATTTTCCCTTTAGTTTATCCATTTAGATTTCCTAAACCACTTCCCTTCCAAACTTTGCCATGCTTACTCCCACTCTGAGTAGATCTCTACTCAGACTTCTTTCTACTCTCTTGTAGTCCACCTGCTGAAAGCATCACCTCTCCTTCTATTACTGTGTCATGTGCTTTTTTAACTTCATCAAATCAGCTGCAAATAGCAGGTATGTAAGGATATTCCACAGCTTTTTCTCTACAGGACTTACTCACTCGTGGGACCCCATAAATTAAGATGATCAGAAGGGCAATGAGCTACATCTTCTTGCAATGCACTTTGAGCATGAGAACACTGTGGTTTTCAAATGACACATTTTAAACCAGTGCAGCACAGCTCTGTGTCAGTCCCTCTCCTCAGTGTTCTGTCATTGGCCTTTGCTTAATAAGAGGTCTCTTGAGCTCCCTGGATTCTCCAAGGAATAGAGAGAAATAACTTTGAGACATCATATAGGCTTGTATGTAGAAAACAAAAACAAAGAAACCACAAAACCTGCCTACAGAAAACTGTTATAAGTAAATTTGTTCCTGGAGTTTTGTCATTTTAGCCATGGCTTTCCTTTTCTCAAACCAGATGTTTAATCATGCAGGACCAGGAACAGACTAAAGACAGTGAATTTTTAATAATAAAGAAAAGGAGTCTGAGTTCTCCTTTTTAGTTTTGAGGCATCCAAATGTTCATCCACTGAATAACATTCTGTCAGTGGTTAACAACAGGACAGTGAGGCAAAGAGTTTGTTCTGAAATATTCATTAGATGGGAGGAGCATACAACTGAATATTATACTATTTTGTTATAAACACAGGCCTCCTGCTAGATTCCACAGCACATATGCTAAAATTGCAATAATACAGAGAATATTAGCCTGGCCCCTGCACAAGGATGACATGAAAACTTATTAAGAAAACCAAGAAAAAACAAACAGATGAAGGAAACTATTCAAAACTAGAAAATGAAAAATAGAAGTAATAAAGAAAACACAAACAGAGGGAATTCTGGGAATGGAAAATCTAGGTTAAAAGCAGACCTCCTTTAGTATCTGAGATCTGTTCCCCAAATCAGTGAAAGATAATCTAAATTCATGAATAATAAACTTATGTAGTATTTCCATATAACTTCTTAGACATAGTTTCAGTAACTATACTTTTGATACTGAGTCCAAATGCTAGGTACATAGTAGACAAACTGTGCCGTTTCAATAATAATGGCCAAAATTGTCTGCCCTCTCAGTGTGCACACAGCTGTGACTGGCCTCTTCACATCATCTTTGTCTGCAGCTATACATTTCACCAACGTAGAATCTGAGGGCACAGGTGGTCCACTCTATTATAAAGTGAAATAGATTGTGCCACAACTTGTTTGAAGTTCATTGTTCTTATTTTTTTGTTGTTATTGTTGTTGCTTCTCAAGACAGGGTTTCTCTGTATTGTTTTCAAGGCTGTCTTGAAACTCCCTCTGTAGACCAGGCTGCTCTAGCACTCACAGAGATCCACCTGCCTCTGCCTCCCTAGTGCTGGGATTAAAGGAATGCACCACTAATGCCCAGCCATTGTCCTTATATTTAAACTCACAGCCTTCTCACATTTTCTATGTGGCAGACGTGCCAAACCTCACAAGATGGGGTTAACTAGAAGACAACCCAACGAGAAAAGGATGACAGCATGTAGTCCATTCTAGCATATTCTGTCAGCCTCTCTATCGTCTCTTACTCAGGTTTGTAAACAGCCTCCCACTCATTCTTCCACTTCCTATGCTCCCAGGTTAACTTTCGTGTAATTTCTCTCATCACATTCCTTTGTGTTTGCAGCTGCTGGCTCCACCCACAATCCTAAGAGCAAAGACCAAAGCTCTCTCTTTGGTTTTCAAGGTCCAACGTTTTCTGGACAGACTTCACTTGCACGGACTTCCTGTTTACATTTCTCCTACTCTAGCTGAGTCACCCTTCTCACCTTTGCTACTGAAATTCTCTTTATATATCCCTGGCATACAAAAGGACTTCATGTGTCCATAACACAAAAAAGGGATGCTCTCTCAGCCTGGACTCTTAGGGGAGTGCCTGGACCCTGCCCTGAGTGAAATGACAGATTCTGGATATCACCTATGTGGAAGGAAGTGGGGATAGGGTGGAAGGCTGGGGGGGGGATGGTGGAGGGGTGCAGTAGGAGGGGAGGGAGAGGGAACTGGGATTGACATGTGAAGCAAGCTATTTAAAATTAAAGTAATAAAAAAAAAGTCCTACCAGGAATCCCATTAACTTCAAAAATTTTACGCATCTTTCAAGGCCTGTTTTAACATAACAATCTCTCACAATGGTCACCAGACACACAGTTATGTGGCACATAGTTAAATCAAGAGACAGTTAAGCAATAGGAAGGAACTGAAGTTCTTTATCACCACAAGTTACTATTGTACTTAAATATCAGGGACCCTGTTTTCGTGATAAGAAAGGAGACCTTAACTTGTGCTAGTGAAACACAGCAGAATTAGAACCAACACTTTATGTTATATCTGACTTCCACATTCAATGGTCTCCACAGTGAACTACAATAGCACTGCTCTGTTATACAGTCACAGCTATTGAGTTACTCCATATTGTATAGAACAGGGGCTTTTCAGCCTGTGCATGAGCCTGTGAAACTCCATTTTATGAGTTGCTTTTGACTCCACTTTGAGTGGGAAATAGTTGCAACCCCAGAGTCCCAGAAACTCCACCAAACCCCACCTACCTACTCCTGGGAATAGGATAGAAAGCAAGCCATCCTATAGGTATACTGGGGAGAAATGAAAAGGTGTGGGCAAGTGGGCATACTAAGATCAAATTAAGGAAAGCAGAGAAAGAACTTATCAGACACCCAGAAAAGGGTGCAAGTCCCTTGCCTGATCCCATAAAGTGATGGACACCTAAGACTGCAATGGAATGGCCTCTGATCAACTTACTGTCTGATACCTGGTGTGCGTGTGTCAGCTATCACAGACTCCGTGACTCAGTTGGGTCCCTGCTACTGAAACTGCCTACTGAACAACACATGATCACCTGTCTGAACTGCCATTTTCTGTTCTTGACCATGTTTGGCCTTTAATCTCACAGTTGAGCTTCCCAGCTACTCTCTTCCACCTGACTCAGGGCCCTCCCCCTGCAGCTCTGCCCAGGAGAGTTTTCTTATCATTAGATTCCTTCTAAGCCATTTCTGAGACCTCTTGAACTCTACTGCAGAATCTTCAACTTGTATTCACTCAGATATCCATGTATACATATACAGAGGAACAAATATGTATACTATGTGGTATGTTATATGAGAGTTAATGGTATTGAAAGACCCTGGCCCAGTATACACAGACAGCTGAGGCTTATGGAAAATTCCGTTTCCCCCACAGCTCAGCTGAATAGTCATTTTTTTTATCAGAAGGGAGCTCAGCTCAAGGTCCTAATGGCTGAATAGTCACTACTATCAGAAGGGAACTCTGCTCAGGGACACAGGTGTCTGCTGTCTGCATAGCCACACAGAAACCTATTGTTCCTCAGATAGGGCCAAGGCCGAGACTTGAGTTCCAAGCAAAACCTCAATTGCCCTCGTTCTGAGCCCCAGCCTCATTTAAATTGCCCAATCAGGGTCCTGTAACTAGGCTTCTCGCTTCTGTACTGTGCTTTTTGCTATAAAAGAACCCCCGAGTCCCCAGCTCGGGGCTCTCAGCCCCCCCCCGAGACTGAGACGCCCGGGTACCCGTGTGTAAATAAAGCCTCTTGCTGTTGCATCCAAGCTCGTGGTCTCGTTGTTCCTTGGGTTCGGGTCTCCCTCCCGTGAAAGTCCCCCGCCTGGGGTCTTTCAGTATCAATTAATACTGGAATGAAGAATTAGCATTATCATCAAGAAGATTACTAAGATGTGTGACTTTTATAAAAAATTGCTGTCATTTAGATGCCTAAATCTTGTGAACTTATTGGTATGCAATACAGCTAGATATTATGAAAAAGCATAAATATATTCATCTATGTTTTGCATATGGCACATAAGATTCATATGCCTTATTCTTATTTATATTTTAAAAACAAATCATGTTTTCAATAAGTATTTTCCATTAGGTGACAACATTTTTACATTATCATCCAAAATTGCAAGTCTCATAAATGTTTTTGATAGTGGTTTTTATAATATTAAAAAAACTTCAATATTCTTGAATAGTAGAGTTTTATTCAGGGGATGGCATTTCCAAAAGAATTTTGAATTAAACAGAAAATAGTAACTAGGTTACCTGTGATTTCATCAAAATCTGTGGCCTAAGGAAAGTAAAGTATTACAGTTTTGGAGTCAGAACCACTGAAGTGGCAGATGTATTTTCTCTGGACCCTCCCCCACTACTGTGATACTATGAAAAGTGGGATATGACACATTGGCAGTCCCACTCTGCTTGTGCAATGGCATCTCCAAAACCTTTAGCCTGTGACCTAGTGAGTCAGTCCTGAATATCAGACCCAACTGTGAACTTTACCAGGTTAGAGCCTATCTGTAAGCAATACTAGCCATTCCTCATTAGATTCCTCACAAATTGCTTGAACATCAACAATGCTAAAAGGACAATTTGTTGAATAATTCCAAAAAGATTACAGATACAGGATTTGGTTGGTAAGTAGGCTCTTGTTTATCACAATTTATTACTGTTTATTACTGACAATTTCCTTACCTCAGTGCTTCTCAACTCTCCTAATGCTGTGACACTTTAAAACAGATCGCCATTTGTGGTGACTCCAACCATAAAATTATTTTTGTTGCTACTTCACAACTGTCAATTTGCTGCTGCTATGAATCCTAATGCAAATATCTGTTTTCCAATAGTCTTAGGTGACCCCTGGGAAAGGATTGTTCTCCACCACCCCTCAATGGGATTGCTACCCACAGATTGAGAACCACTGCTTTAGAGGACTATTTGTCCAGACAACCAGATTGGAACAGTGACTTGGATTGCAGGTTGCCTATGTATGAATTAGTCTTTTTGATCATTCTACAGGAAGTTTTTGTGTATTATATATATTTATTCTCTACCAGATGTATATGTGGCAAATTTTCTTATGCCAAGGACAACAGAACATATACTCAATTACCTGAGCAACATTTTTTCATGTCTTTCATTGAACTTGCAGTGGGCTTTTAGCTCAGAACAGTGAGCCACAAAGACTCCAAAATGAAGTGGATCTATGGGTGTTGGAAAACTTACCTTGTCCCCTTCTTCTACATGACAGATGACCTCCTCAGTTGCAGGGTTAAGGACAGGAAATTTCTTGCCACTCACTGAGTCATGCCATTCATTGTTTATGAAGATCTGGGGCAATGAAGCAAAGGCAGATTAAAAAGCATTTAAATATGCAGTAAGTTAGAGGGTTTGATACACTAGTGTTGAGGTATTAAACACTGCCTAAAAATTATGTATCTTTTCCTGTCTAAAAAAATACCTGTGTGTGTGAGTGTGTGTGTGTGTGTGTGTGTGTGTGTGTGTGTGTGTGTGTATGATTTAAACCTAAAGAAACACTGAGGTTAGGCAATTGGGAATTCAGGTTGTGTCACTAAAACATAGTAACTAGGAGAGGCACCCTTAGATCACTGGAAAAAGTCTGAATTTCAATACTTACACCCTGGCCTTGCTTTTCATTACATGCATTTGACTTCATTACTTCTTCGATATAAAAGAAATCTTAGCATTGTAATATGGCCATTGTGAGAAAATTGTAGTTTGTTCCCTGTATACATGAAAATATTATTAACTCATAAGACATTTTTGAGCATGGGAAAGTAATGTCACTTGATAACTCAAATACTTTAAAAATATGTGTATTTTTATTTACATTCATATATGTTTGTCCATATGAGTTTCTATGTATCAATGCATGCTGGTACATGATGATGATGGCCTTGCCTAGCTTGGAACTGGGGTCACAGACACTTGTTCCTAGTCAACAAATGTGTAAGGTGTGTGCAATGAGAAAGGAGAAGACCCCAAATCCCGAGAAACAAATCCTTCACCACTGAGATCTTTGGAAGAACCTCAGACTTCTCTTTGGTCAGTCTTTGTCAGAACAGACATGACTGTGCAAGACAGACTGACAATTAGGAGAAAAGGAAAGGAGAATGACAAGGTGGGAAACAGATCTTGGAAAAATCACCTCCTCAGAAAATAGGACTACACATAATCCCATTTTAATTGTAAGAGAGCAGAGGCAGGTAGAGGTGATAGAGTTTCACCAGTGACCATGTAACTTTCAAAGAAGCTCTTTCTGCAAAAGCTCAATAGCAAGCAAGAGGGCACCTGTGGCATGTACTCACTGCTCCTAAGGAGTTATGGCGACAGAGATGTGATGGGTGCACTTGGATTTATAAAGTTATAAAGACTTCAAATACAAAAGGTTTTGTAGGTTTTTTTTTAAACAAATAGTTCTTAAAACCTGAACTTCAATCATCTACCCCAATCAAAGAGGAACTGAACTGGGAAATAAGAGCTGAAAAGATGATGAACTGACAGCTTCTTTTGTCCACACAGAAAACACTCTGAAGATTAAGATTATGTAACTCTCTGACTACAGTTGTTATTCTTTCTCTTTTTGTTATTAATCTGCTTGCTTGTTCTCTTTTTGTGTACCAAATATTGTTCGAGTATAAAATATCTCTTGGTGAAAATAATAGAATCTCTGACCTGGGTGGAAACTTAACATTACAGTTGGACGAGATCAATCACTTTGGACAAGGGACCACTCCTAGGATTAATAGACCTGCTTCTCACTCTGCTTTACTGCACCCTGAACAAGAACTGTTCTTAGAGAAGGAAATCTGTTCTCCTTAGACATATGTCACCCCTGAATCAGCCCACTAACTTTGAAAGGATTTTATTTTTATGTTTGCTGAGAGCTCTTGAAGACCCCACAACTGACCTTGGCTTTAATCAGGCCTCCAGGGAAAACCCTGCTTGCAAGTGTCTTACCTTGGTATACTGAATCTTCAAGTTGGCCAGCGGGGCAGGGACTTCAGGTTGCAAAGAGGAAGACATTGCTGGTTTGGCTCCTGGAATACTGGTGACAGGCTCAGCAAGTTAGTTCTGTTAGAGCACTTGCTCTTTTTTTATCTGCTGGCACTAGGGGTCATTTGCATATTGGGGTATGATTGGACGGGCAGACTCAGGGCAGAGCAAAAAGAACACTAATGACATTTAACAACAGGAACTGGCATCCTTTGCCTTTAAATGTAAATCCTTAAGGAACCTGTGCTTTAGCCCTGAAGTTCCATGGGGAGATTACTCACTATTAACAGATGAAATATTTTACAAAGCCAAACCGATGCTAAAAGAGTACTTGCAACTGACTGACTCTTAAAGCCAGCTATAATCTTCTGGGTTTCTCATGACTTTTTATGTTACCATGTAACTTTCCCTTCTCTGACAGACAGGGAATCAGGGAATTTATGAAGTGAAAAGAAAATGTTCTTATTCTCAATAGGAACTAGGGGGAGAAGACCACCTCATATTAACCTTAAAGCAAATCCTTAACTCTCAGTACTTATTTTTACCATGGTCTACTTGGTAGTCACATTTAAGAAAACAAGAAAAGCACAAATATACACACACTTCCATCTGAAATTTCCTTAATGACTTCAGTCTCTCTCTTTCCCTTCTGCTGCAACAGTGAATCCAGGACACTCTTGTTCTCTATCTCTGTGAGAGCTATGACTCAGCAACTTCAGTCGTACCATAATTCTTGTCCTTGTGAATGTTGCAGTAGAGGTCTCTTTTACCTAAACACTAACACTGACCAACTGTCTGTAAGGAAGATACTTGCAGTAAGGTAGATTTCTAAGTTTATACAAAGACCTGGCTGAGAGAGTAAAGTTATTGACTGTGATTATTTTCTTCCCAGGATCACCAATAGCTGGGAGGAATCATCCAATATACCAATGCATAGAAGAAATTGTGCCCAGTAACTGAGTCATATATTGCTGGAGTTTGGGGCATGAATTCCACCACAGAAAGGGAGCACTATGGCTTCGCAGGGAATTTACAGTTACGACAGTGACTACTTATAAAGCAAATACTCCAACAGCCCTGTGTGGGGACCTCTCCCATCAGAATGTGTGATCCTGATGGGTAAGCTACATGACTTGTCAGCTGGGCTCTCACTACATAATTCTATGGTCTATAGCAGGAGAGGAACAAGATAGCAGCACTCTTTGGATGTTCTGGTTATAAAGAAGGAACAATGACAACTATGGAGCAGTTGTCATCTCCCCTGCATAGGGATTTAGCTAGGGGCAGGAACAAGGATTTGGAAACCTCTTTCTCTTTCCACCCTGACCCAAGCTTCTCATTTTGCAAACACAGAGAGAAACACAGCTTCTAATCATACACCTCACAATATAAGGTTAAAATCTCACTTCAGACCCAGGTTCCCCGGTCTGTTACCCCTCCTTTCCAGTCCTGCCTTGATATCCATAAGACAATCCCTACATAGGCTCAAGAACAGCTTGAGGTTTTGAGTGAGTAGTTACACACATGGAAATTATTCATCTGAGCAGGGAATAGCAAACTTTTTCTTAGGAAACATTTTCATCTCCCTGGGACACATCAATTCTGTTGTAATTTGGTCTACACTGATTAGAAGTAACAATAGAGAGCTGGTGAACGGATGAGTGATTATGTTTTTAAAATAATTGTATTTGAGGAAAAATAGGAGGCAGGTCAGGTCTGGAGTATAGAACATTCTTCTAGATTCTATTACTGTATCTTTTAGATATCCTTGAGTAGCCAGCACCTCTCTCTGTGTCTCTGTGTCTCTCTGTGTCTCTATCTCTCTGTCCTTTTCATTTTCGAAACTTGTTTTCTGTTTTACTAATGCCCTTTGAGTTAAATGCACAATTGCTCAACAACCATTATATAACACGCAGACTAGTGTTCTTGTCAATGCCCAAAAGCTGCATTTTGCAGAGTCACAGTTGTTTGTGCATTCAGAATTTGGCTATTTGGTGTGTAAAAGGTAATAACACAGGCTGTGAAACATTCTTGGCATTCCGTCTTACTCTCTCATGGGTGTATCATTCACTATCTTTCACTAACTAAATATGCAGGAATGTACTCGAAACCAAGAAACACTGTATGAAATAAAGGAAACTTTGGAGGCAGTTGCCATGCCAGCCCTTTAATTTTCAACAAGTATTATCTAAGCTTTATGTATGCATTCCTAAACTTCTACTTCCTTTGCCACGGTGTTTTCTTCTGCGAAATACTGGGCTATGACAGGCATTTCTGAGATTATACAAAAGTTTATTTCTAGGGATGGTTACAAAAGCCAAAGACTGGGACTGTCTGTTGTCAACCTCCTTGGCTGATCTGACAGCTTTGAGATTTTCAGGTGACATTTCAGAATGTATTACATCTTTCACCAATCCGCATCTAAAAATGTCATCATATAGCTCTGAGACATTTTGCAGAGCTTTCCCACTTTACTACAACAGCCTATATGATTTACTCATGGATGTATTTGAAAATGCCTTGATTTTATTTTAATTTGTTGCATACCAGATTCCTCAATTGATGAAGCATTCCATCCTTCAGGGAAGCTCCTTAAGAGCGAAAATGAAAGCACTCAAAATAGCTTCAGGAAGTCCCTGAAACTAACCAGATTCACCCTCCTAAGAGTAAATAATATAGGAGAGTCACTTTCTGACAAGCAAAACTGCAAAGAAGACTCTGATACAATACCAACTGCCTGGAAGAAGCAAAAATTAGCCAAGCTTCTTGGAGGAGGTTTAAACCAACTGAATCACTTGGAAGGAGCACTTTCCAAAGTATTGAGTTCTCTATGGACTATGAAGTGTGTTCCAGGTTCCCAGCTTTTGTGAATTGTCACCCGTTCTGTGGACTGCTTTGATGAAAGCTGTCTGTAATTCAATTATGCTCCTGCAAGTAGCCCTCACTCCCTATTCCTGTATGTGTCCCCAATAAAACTCATTGGTACACAAAGTTGAACTCTGGTGATACCAAAGTGGTCTGTAATAGGCTCCCTACAACACATACCTATAAGTTCACAAAAACATTTCCAAAATGGGGCTTGTTATTTGAGTGCAAACTGAATCCATGCTATTGGACCATGGCCACTCATGTTTCACTCAAGAATAACCTGTTTCTTATTTCTTTTGAAATGATAGGTGTTTTGGGATGACAGCTTTGATGACCTTATTTTGACCATAATAGTTGTCTGGACCCACTTACAAGAATGAGCCAATTGTGTACATATAAGCACATTGTCTTCTTAGGTGGCATTGTTGGTAATTTGTTGCTGAGGTCTAGTCTTTGCTTGGTAGAGAGACCATTAGCTCATCCGGAGTTTGTAGGATATAAATTCTCTTTTTGCACATTGTTCATTTTTAACTGAATAATCCAATAAAGTAATTATCAAAGCAAAGTTTGATATCCAAGAATTGAATAGCCTAATGAATTAAGAACAGCATTTTGAAAAACAAAATACAGAAGAATATAATACCTCACTGTGCACTACATGTACTGCAGGTCAATATGACTTCAAGATATTTTTTCAAGTATACTTTATGGTCAAATGATATGTAGCATGTGACATTAAAAGTATATGTTTTATTAAATATGAAATGAAATATATCACCTTATACATTATCTTAAGTGTTTGTTAGAAATAAAGTCATAACCTCTAGAATTTAGATGTCAGGTTGACCAGAGCTGAGTTTTAAAAGGGAATCACATGAGCCATTGAATGGAGCAAACTTCTAGGAAAGGCTACCAGAGTTGTGTGATCAGCATGGTGTTCTGAAATATTTACAAGTTTTTCAGTCCTGGCAACAGGTCCATAAAGACCTGTTAGGTCCACAAATATCACAAGGGAACACTTGGTGGAAAGAGGTTTTGTCCATGTTGTGTTCTTGGAGGGTCAGTCCCAGCTTCTTTCAGGTCTTTTCTCCACCTAGATCATAGTGATGCTGCAGGCTCTCGGTATGCACAGAAATTATTTCCCAGGTTCCTCTATAATCTCATGTCTCAACCTATTGTGAAACAACACAGGCTGTTTATCTTTGAGAGGAACAACTAATCACCCTTGATATAGATACTACCTGTTGATGAGAAAATAAATGAATAAACTTAGTTAATATTTTTCAGTAATTGCAAACTTACCAAACAATAATGCCAGAAAGGTCATATCAAAATAGATGAGCTGACCAGGAAGAACAAAAGTGTATGTGATGAATGTTCCCATGAACCGAGAACAGCTAACCTAGTTATTGACACTGCTAAACACAGGAGGGATGCTAAAGAACAGGAAACTCTGTAGAGGCCAAGACTGCAATGAATGACTAGAATACAGGTGATTTACTTTCCCAAGTACCTGATATCATCTAATTCTTGCAAACATTATTTCTTTCTCAGAGAGTTCCTTGTAATTTAAAGCTATTACTGGTGATCATATGACATTTTTTTATCCTGTAGTGTGTGTGTGTGTGTGTGTGTGTGTGTGTGTGTGTGTGTGTGTGAAGTGTGAAGTCTTTTCTTTGAAATGTCTAAAATCGTGTTACTCAAAATGGGGATAATTTGATTTCCACTTTTTAAAATTCAGAGGCTATAATTTATTTTGCTTGCCTGGGATCTGCAGTAGGCTTCCAATATTGACACAGAATGAGAGCAGTGGAAGTGAACATCCTGGCTTGTGTCTCCTTCTAAAAGGCATGTTTCCCCATTCTTTGTGATGCGATAGTCTGATATGTTGACAGAAGGTTCCTTATGCTCACTTTGTTGAGATGTTAGATCACAAAAAGATGCTACATTTTATCAAGTACCTTTTCTGAACCTTATGAAAGATGCTTTTCTTTCCTTTTGTTGAATAATGATATTTTATGTTTACAGTTTGTATATGTTGATACATCACTGCAAGGGATGTATTCCCAAATGTGAGTAGCTCAAAATTCTGGCTCAAGTTGGTAGGATCCAAATTCAGTCCTAGGGTTCTGGGGCACGCATTACAAAGGTAAAAATGTGGGACTTAGTAACAGAGAAGGGAAGTTGTTTATCATTATGTGCTTCCCATTGTAAACAGTTATAGCTGA